TATTAACCAGATAGTGGTTTTATACCTCATATGAACCAGATAGTAGTTTTATGTCTCATACTAACCAGCTGACAATCAGAAGCCATTCTATGGGACGGGGAACCTGCTAACTGCCACAGGTGGGACATTCTGAAGCCATTCTAGGGGACTGATGACGGCCTATTAACGTCTATTTCATGGATGATAACATCCGAAGCGGGTGTCTTTTCCCATTTTAATGTCAACATGCTTGCTTTTATCATTTTTTAGGAGAATTGGCTGTGCTTTAAAACATTTACACATAAGGATACAACCCCGTCAAAGTCTTCTCCACACCAGTGGAGAAGCTGTTGAAATCTGGTTTTGTATTTCCCTCCAGACTGGCTCTCTCCTATCAAAGATGAGTATGTGGCGAAGATGACACCTTTCTTCACACTCCCATTGTGTTTTGAGGAGATTTTACCATATTTAAACTGCAAATGAAAAATATTTAAAATAGATTTCCAAAAATAAAGTTATTTTAGCAAGCCAACACTTAAAAAAAGTCTTATTTTAAGCATAATTGAAATATCTTACCTTGTTCAGTGAATGAACTTGAATATTTTTTGCTCCGATATCCCTTAAATCCCGTTCAGCATCATATTTTAAATCATTTGAGACACTAAACCTAACAGAAGACCACAACATAAAAAAATACAGTTATGACTAAATTTAAAACAAATCTTTTGTAGTATTTATGTAGGCCTTAATAAAAAAAAATCTAAAGGTTTTAAGTCATTTACCAAAGAGATCTCTTTCTGCCCAAAAGGTAATTTTCATATATGATCCCAGCAATCGTCCGGCCTTTCCCTACACCAGCTCCATCACCTATCAGATAGGCAGCTCTGTCACCACTAGGGAGGAACGTCTCGTGTTGCTGTTACACATTTAGAAAGAAAAACAAATACAAAAATCAAACCACAACTTTTTTTGTTGCATTAGATTGTGACCTTACAAAAAAAAGTTGCAGGAATTTTTTTCCAAAATCTAATTTGCTAATTTTTTAGTTTTAAAATTATTTTAATACACAGATGACTTAAAGCACAAAAGAAACAATCCAGTCAACTTTAAAGTGATGCTGACAAATAGTTATCAATAGTATCAGTTGTGACATCAGTCATAAAGCACAGATTATAGCACCCAGTATGCTCCATCTGAACTGCCAAAGTCGATTTTTGTTGCAGTTCTGACAAAAATTGTCTGATTTTGTTTGCAGCTTCATACCTTCCAACACAGGCAGAGCTTTCAGTTATCAAGCTCCTCTCTTGTGGAACCAACTTCCAGTTTCTGTCCGTGAGGCTGACACTCTGTCTACTTTTAAGATTAGACTGAAGACTTAGGGTTGGTTTGGGTTTTGTGAGCCATCCTTTAAACTGCTAGACTGCTGGAGCACATTTCCTCACTCTGCTGCTGTCTTTACTCACTCTACTCTACATGTCAGTATTTGTAGTTTTTCTATCATTAACATGATTTTTTCTTTGTCCATCCTTCCATAGAAACTACACCTGGACCTGTAATTCTGTGTTTGTGTCCTGTCCTCTCTGACACCGGCCAGTCATCCATACTGATCCCGGTTCTTTCTACTAAAAACTGAGCCAGTCCATTTAACTGTCCCCAATAAGCCCAAAGAAATGACAGCAGGACCAGTTATTCTGTCTGTGTCAGGGTTCCCAACGTTTCATAAAAAACAAAACCCTCTGAGCATTTCCTGTCTGGAAAATATGACAGGTCCTGTTTCAGGTTGTCCCTGGCTACGTTCACACTGCAGGTCTTAATGCTCAGTTCCGATTTTTTGAAAAAATCCGATC